TATTGAAAAGGGCATTTAACAATTCTCTAAAAGATTCGTAGCATAAGAGTGCATGATTTCTTATATTCGATTTAAATTAATAGTTTTTGAACGTCTATTATCTAAATTGATATTTCTGTTATATTTTACTGTCTCAAATTCTTAATATTTAAATTAATTAAAAAAAAAGTTCTGAAATTTGGGATTATTATGTATTATATATATATATATATATATATGATTGTATATTTATATATGATTTTTTCAAAAATTTGTTTAAAAAAAAAAATAGAAAACTATGTCTATATATATTGCTAATATGGGGGAGTAAATTTTGGGATATTGCTAATATGGGGGAGTAAATATTTGGGATATATATAATGAAATAATAATGCTTCTAATGACTTCTCTAGTGAAATGAAATATAACACGTTCAAAATGTTGTAATACTTCTCAAATAATAGTGTAAGGGATTTAATAGAAGCCTTACTCACTTAAATAATTTATTAATTTCTTTCACATATAAAAGAATTTTACGTGTCTGATTTTTAATAAAACTAAATAAAAGCTGGTTTACTTTTCTTTTTTGTCGTCTCTTCTTTTTTCCTTTCTAGTTTCTATAACGAATTGGTTGTTGCTTCTTAATTAGCCAAGAGAAAACAAATAAAAAAAATCATATTGAATGTCATCTTATTATTCTTACTGCTGAATTTTGTTTTTTTTTTTTTTTTTTTTGTCTATATTGTTGAATTTAAGGTCAAAATTTGCGTCAACTCGGAATTTACGATGGTTACACATGACAATCATGGGTACAAGCAGTCCAAGTTTTCTTAAAAAATCATATCGCCGTCCAAAATATATGTACATATGCATCCGAAAAGTGGGAATGATATATGAGTCTCAACGTTTATTGGAATTTTATTTTTCACATTTCGGGTTTAATTCGGACACGAATTAAATTTTTAAGATTTGGTCAAAATATTGAATAAAAAACTATAAAAGAAGTATGCTATTTATTATAGTTAAAAGTTAAAACTCTGTTTTTTTTATTAGTTAATATCACAAAAGTATAAACAAAAGTAAGTCTTATTGGTAAGATAAGGATTAAGGACTGCTTTGATTGATTTTAACATGTTAGGTTAATGAGAATTGAGAGGCCACTGACATTAGTCAAATGTTACTTTCTTCTCTTAAGATTGATATAAGATAATAGAATATGAAAATTCTATGCCATCTTATTATATAAAGTTGGGTTTTCGAAGTTACTAACTCAAGAGATTGCGACACGTGTCATATCTAACGGTTAGAGATTTAAAGATAATGTTAAGAAAATTATAAATTAAATAATTTAATATGTAAAAAGATTTGTGTTTTTGAACTAATTAATAGATTTGGAAATTCATACAAAAATCATGTGTTATTCAATCATTGATTTTAAAATCTTTATCAAAATCATGTGTTATTAGTTCGATGATTTATAAATACTAATTAAAATATTATATTATTCGTTTAGTGATTTGTTTTGGGATTTCAAAATTCATTTTTTAAAAGTTAGTTGTGTTTTTGAACTAATCCATATTTCTGGCCTTTTTTAAAAGTTAGTTGTGTTTTTGAACTAATTAATAGATTTGGAAATTCATACAAAAATCAGGTGTTATTCAATCATTGATTTTAAAATCTTTATCAAAATCATGTGTTATTAGTTCGATGATTTATAAATACTAATTAAAATACTATATTATTCGTTTAGTGATTTGTTTTTGGATTTCAAAATCCATATTTTAAAATAATAGGATTTGAATGGATTTCATAGTGAAAAATAGAAGGATTCAAATCCGTGGGTAAACACATGTTATTTCAAAATTCATATGTCTTGATTTCAAAATTATTAAAGATTTCCAAATTCGATGTGGATTTACAAATCCATAAACCAATAAACCCCCCTAAGACTTTGAATGTTTACTAGGACCATGAATGGCGAACGATTCTTGGATTCACCCCTAGGGGTGAATCCTTTTTATTCACCTCCTTCTAACTAACCAATCAAAATTAGCCATATCATCTAAATAAACTAATTAAAATAATTAATAATATTTAAATAAAACAACTAAATTAAATCAATTATGGATTCCACCAATTAAATATTTTATTTTACAATTAAACAAAATTATATATCGGTTTAGGTTTATAAAGGAGTGGTTAGGGTTTAGATTTTATAATTTTTACGAAATTATATGTCGGTTTGGGTTTATAAAGGAGTGGTTAGGTTGATGTTATATAAAAAAAAGAGGGTTACGGTTTAGATTTTACAATTAAAAAGAAATTAGATATCGGTTTGGGTTGACAAAGGAGTGGTTAGGGGTGAACTTATATGCCGGTTTTACAAGTCACTTCAATTGAACCTTGTTCTCCATACATGGACTTAAGGTAATTATCGAATCAGTGTGGTTATTGAATTTTGATTTAAGATGTTACGAAGTTAGCCAACTTAACTTAAGATAGATAATAAACCAATTTTTGTGGTTATACATACATACATTTTTTTTTTTTTTTTTTTTGATAAAGATATACATACATTACATACGTTAACGAATCATAGAAATAATCCCCAAATTATTTTTAAAGCTAACTGACTTGAAAAAATGACCAAAATTAGATTGTGCCATCATACACAATCTCGCTTATTTATGCTAAACCCAGAAGATCCATATGATTAATGAGACCAACTGTGACCAACCAAAGAGAAGAAAATGATTAATGAAACTAAATGCATAATCAATAGAGAAAACAGAGTTTTGTGCCAATCCTTAGAGAAAATAAGTCTTTCATCAGAATAATAACACCAAACTCTAAAGAAGACGAGAGGGAGAAACTAAAGTTTGAAATTAAGTTGAATCATTATCAACAACCGAGTTAGTTCTCTCTAACTCTACTCATCATCTTGATCGTCTTCAATGTCATCAAACTCAGACTCATTCCCAGATTCACTCTCCGAATCACTCCACCACACATACCCCCTATTCGCAAAAACATCTCCAGATTTCTCTGACGATGAGTTTCCAGCTGCATTCTCGCTGCTCTCCTCTTCCTTATTAGCCAACCTGCTCATCACTGAACTACTCTTCTTGTTAAACGGAGACGATCTCAGCTTCCTCACTTTCTTCTCCGGGGACACTACCACGTCGTCATCATCGTCATCCAGAGAAATTTCTTTCGCTGTTTCAGTTGTTTCTGTTGACACAGAAAAAGAAAAGGCTAAACTTCAGGACAGGCATTACATGCAAGCAGTTCTGTTTGATCAATGTTTCTTTGTCAAAAATGTGATTGTTATTAACAGCTTACTGTTATATTAGATCAAACCTAGAAAAACAAAACACAATGAAAAACAATTTGAGCACAAGACTAACCTGTGTCCATTGCTGAATTTGAAGCCTCTTTTGTTACAGATTCACTGGCTTTCTTTGGTGCCGGTTTCTTTGGCGCCTGTCTCTCTTCATCGGGTTGAGCATCTTGCTTATCAAGTTCCTGCGATAAGAGGAAAAGATGTATCAATGACAAAATGTGGTAATTTCCTAATGTGAAGCGTTATAAATAAGGCTTAGCATTGTGCATCCTTACCTCTAGTTCTTTGAGCCTGAGGGATTCCGGTGTGGCGTTTTTCAAGTCTTCAACTGCATCCATCATTTGATCTCTCTGTGCCCTTACCTCTTGTACTGTATCTGTAATCAAAACAGACAATTGCAATAGGTAATTATAGTATGAGCTTTCAGCTGCATTAGTTGCTCCAGCAACTGCTGCTTCGACAGGCTTGGCATTTTCCAGGATTTCTGTGAACCATTTTTCTCTCAACTTCTGATCATTAGCTATCTCTAGTTTCAGCAGCTCAAGTTCCCGATTCTTCAGCATAATTTCCTGATTCTTCAGCATAGTTTCCTGTACACATCACAACACAGTTAATGTTAGATCATTGCCTTAATAAGTAAAACCTCAAAAAAAAAAACTGAACTTTTCTAACCTTTTTCTTCTCATAGTATTCAAGCGTGAGGTCATCAACCATCGATGGAAAAATATGAGTGCCAGGCTGAATGGGAAAACAGGGACATCAGAACATGCATATATAACAAGCAAAGCACAGATATTTTAAAGATAACTCAATCCATCATACCTCATAGTTCGAAAGCAAGTTTTCCACCACGCCAGATTTGGCCACTAAAACAAACATTATATAGAAAAGAAATCATTAAGGACTCTTCTTTAAAGCAGTTACAACACTAATATAAAAAGATGGATCAAGCAAACTGAAAGTTCACATTTCTTTAGATCAACACACGATACCTTTCTGAAGGATATTTTCTGAAAGTTGACATTTCGACCCGAAACTTCTCTCTGGAAGAGTCAGTGTTTCTTTTGTTTGAGAATCAAACGCAGGATTGTCAATCAGAGCATTGACAAAGACCCACAGATGGTTCTTCACATTATGAGTCTTGACATTAGGGTATTTCTTCTTTTTGTTCACAATACCCACAATGTACTCTGTGACCTGGCTGGTCACATAATCAACATGCGTACCACCCTTAATTGTCGCAATGGAGTTGACAAAGCTAACCTGTTAGTAGCCAAAAACGAGTTTACTCATTCATCATGAAGAACAAAAGGTAATAATAGCCAGCCATTATATATATATATATATATATATATATATATGTTGAAACCGTCCATCACTTAAGCTCACACAAACTTCCCATCTATCATTAACTTTCTCATTCATCCTACTCACACAAAAACTCAAAAAGATCAAAATCTATTCCAAGACACCAAAATTGTTATAACTCAATAACGAATCATAGAACAAACCTTGGGAGAGGCTCAGTCCTTGATTTACTGGCGGCACTTAAGTAGAGATCAACATAATCACTGAATGACTTAATTGGTACTCGTTTTCCATTCAGGTCAACTTTGACAGTCTGTCCCAAACAGCCAGCAATATCAAACACTCGCTTACTCATTAGAGCAACCACATCGTTCTCCAATTCAGTCATGTTAAACTTCTTCAAATCAGGCTTGAATGTAACCTTCGTCCAATTCTCACCCTTATTGCACTTGGTTATAAATAGTTTAGACATGTTCCCCATATTGTTTTCAAAGACCTAAAACATCACCAGTAATGTCAATCAAAATTCCTCAAATTACTCTAATCAATCGAAATCTAAAACTCAACACAGAAAGCAAATAAAACGATTCCAATACCTGCTTATACTTCTTGAGTGATCTCTTCCCATCTGCAATCTCTATAATGAATTCAGTAGAGAAGATGTTTGTAAGCGTAGCACCAAATCCGTTTCTTCTACCAGTAGTCTTCTTAACATTATTATCGTAATTCCTCCTCAACCAATGACCAAAAAAAATCCCAGGCACAAAAACACCTTCTTCAAGAGGAACTCCATCACCACTGTTACACACACTAATCTGATTCTTCTCAACATCGATCACAACTTTGACAGAATCCATAGACGGATCTCTCCGTTTATTATCAGCAGCATTCACAAGGATCTCATCAAAGATCTTATACAATCCAGGAACATAAGTAACAGAACGACAAACCATCTCTTCCTTCTCATAAACCCAAAGCGTTTGGGTATGTTTCTCAATCGATCCTATATAAGAATCAGGACAAAGTAGGATATGCTCAATTGTATTCCCAGCGGAAGCTAGCGATGATGCCGGAGCCTTCGCAACATTGGCGTTGTCGATGTTTTGCATCGGGAGCTTCGAAGCCATGTTTAAGAGGAACGACGAGAGTTTCTTAGAGATGGATCTAGAAATTAGGGTTTTTTTTTTTGGGGAAGAAGAAGAAGAAGGATTTTAATCTAGTCGGCCCCTGTACTCAAAATCCATTCCATTTAGCCTCGTAATAAAATTAATATAGTTAATAGTTTATTTTAATTCAGAAAAATAGTAAAAGACAAATAAAACAAGGAGTTTTCACTTATTTACGACCTAACCAGTCAGTTGGATCTAGATCCATATGACTTTCGGATATTTTATCCCCAAAGTCGAATCCAAACACTAATTTCCAAATCACCTTTTTTTTTATTTCTCCTCTCTACGACTTTTTCATCTTTTTCGTTTCTCTCTGTCCCGAGTCAACAATCCGACAAACACAAAGCTTTCAATCTCTTTTCTTCTTCTTCTTTCTTCTTTTTTTTTTCTCTCTTTTCTCGATTCCATCGATACTCATTCATCTTTTTCATCTTCCCTCTTCACTCGTTTCTATCGATCCAAAGATCCGTCCTCTCTCTTCTTCTTCGTGAGAAATTCGCAGTGAAATCGAGAAATCCGCCGTGAGAACTCCGTCGTGTCTTCTCTTTGTAAGATTTCATTTGTTTGATCCCTAATTTTGTTTTATTGTGTTAGGTTTAATTAGGATTTGATTTCTTCCAATTTCTTCTTCTCTGTGAGGGTTTGATATGTAATTCTCTTTGATTTTGTTTGAAACAAATGCATTTTGAATGGAATTTCGATTACAATTAGGATTTTTTATGATTACAGTTCGGATTTTAAGATTACTAATAGGATTTGAATTACAATTCGGGTTTGAAATTCGGACCACATGTAGCTACTTTTTCTTGTTTTTATTTGGAGATATTGAGTGAAAGTTGTAACTTTGTTTGTAAACTCTTCTTAAAATGATTGATTTCTCTTGGTCAATTTTGGAAGAAATCTGGTTTCAAGTAAGTTAATAAGGAGTGGATTGCAGACATAGATGAAATTTTTTGTACGTATATATTAGCCTATAACATTTGTTTCTCTATTACGAGAGGAGGAAAAGGAAAAGGAGACTGAGACTGAGACTGAGACTGAGAAGGAGAAGGAGAAAGAGAAGGATAAGGAGAAGAAGAAGCAGAAGAAGACTTGGTGTGTTCAGATGTGTTTTGGTTTCTAATGTTATGTATGAATCTAAGTGTTTAGGTACAAATGGTACACTTATGTACAACTATGTATCTGGGTTTGTATGAATCTAAGTTTTTTTGACAGAAAAATCACCAAAAAACTATGAGTCAAAGTGTTTTGATGAAAAAATTCACAACAACACTATGAATCTACTAAGTATGTTAAAAAATATATAGTGTTGAAAAAAAAAAGTATTTTACTTTTTTTTTTTTTTGGTGAATCTAAGTATTTTGATTAAAATAAAAAATAAAAGAAATATCTACAAATATCTAAAAATATCTGAGAAAGATCTAACATAAATATCTAAAATTTGTTCATAGTTGTACAGTTGTACTCGGTTGCACATTTTTGCTCATAGTTGTACAATATCGAGAATTTAGTAAATATAGTTGTTATCAACTCTAAATTAATTTTTGTGGGTGGAACCGATGGTATTGTCTCATCAAAATACCATTTCTTTGTATGAGTGTAGTTATATTTATCAAAATACAAGTATTTCAAAAATTTAAAATTTTTTAGTTCAAATCTACAAAGTAACAATGGAAGTATAAGGTTGTTAGTGTATGAATGTGAGATTTTGTGATAAGAATTTCATTAATTTAGGAAAATATGAATTTTTTTGTCAAAAACTTCTTGTGTAGTTTCATTACCACCGAGTATGCATTTTTTAAGATTTTTTTATTTGGTTTTAAATTTTCATATTATATAAAACTCTGAAAACTAGCTAAGGCAATAGACCTTAGTTGTACAGGTTGTACTTAGTTGTACCAAGACAAAACAATTTAATTTGTATAGATACGATAAAAAATTCAACCAGAGTTGTATCTGTTAAAACTTAGTTGTACGAAACAGAACAAGTAAGTTTCACAAACAAAACCAATACAAACAACATCGCTTCTTAAATCATCCTAATAATGGCACTTAGAAATCAACCTTGGTCACCCTCATCGTCCCATCAACGTCACCATCATTGTTACCATCATTGGTAAACTACTCACCTAAACTACTCGGCCTCTTCGACCTCTTCTTACCTCATTTTCTTCTATGTTCTCCAAAGCATAAGCACAAGCAAATTAAAGCGGACTGAATTCTTTTTTATTGTCCCTGAAAAAGAAAGAGAGAAAGAAAATGGTCTATAATTTTATATTTTTCGTAGCAGTCCATCAACATAGTTGTACTCATTTGTCCCAATTGCACCAAATTTAGGGTTTCGGTAATATTATACTTAGTTGTACCTAATGGTTTCAGTTGTTCCAAATCTACAATTCCCAATTTTTTCTACCAAAAACTGCATTCAAGCTACGAATTCAACTTTTCTCAATCATAATTCACTAAAAAACAAGTATACTTACTAGTGGATAGAGAAGAAGAAGTAAACAACGAGCTTTAATGGTGGATGGAGAAAAAGAAATAGAGAGGAAATATGTCATTGAAGATGCTTGAATCGTAAGAAGAAGAAGAATTTGATTTTTTTAAGTTTTTTGATGGAGAAGAAGAAGAAGAGATGAGATATGTCTTTGGAGATGGAGAAGAAAAAAAAAAGAAGAAGAAGAAGAAGAGAGGAGAGGAAATATGTCGTAAGAAGAAGAAGAATAATCTCATTTTTTAAGGTTTTTGGTAGTTAATGAGAGGGGAGAGAGAATGAATATGATTGGTTGCTTTTAAGAATTTGTTGGTAATAAAATTTAATGTAGAAATAAATTGGATAAAAGGCAAGGGTATAGTTGGTTTTTAAATGTACTGGGAAGGAGAGGGGGTAGTGAGAATAAGTGAGGGTTTTTGAAAGAATGTTTGGAGGAAAAGGGGCTAGAGATATTTAATTCCGAAGAAGAAGAAGAGCTCAGAGAAAGTTTTCGGCTTCTTCGTTCCCTTAACGAAACGGTTAAAGAACTTCTGATCCATCTAGGTCAGTCCGAGGGTCTAATCTTTTCCGACTACGACGCCGTTTTTAGACGAAACTTATCTATGGGCCCATTAATCATATAGTCTCGGCCCAAACGAAAATAAATGTCGACTCAAAATTTTTGTCGATTTTACAAGTAAAAATGAAAATCATTAATCTTGGATTTGAATCCTAGTACCAAGATCTTTGATACTATAATCAAACGCAAAACTCATTAATCTCATTCAGAGGTATAATTTACAGTCGTTCAATCATATACACTAGGATATGACCCGCGGTACACCGCGGGATAATTTTTTTTTTTACTATTTTGTTATAAACTTATGAATTTGATGTATTAATTTTTTTTTTATTGGTACCGTAACGAAAGTTTGATTATGTATGGTTTTTAATAAGATTTTACCCACGGTACACCGCGGTCTGCGGAATAATATTTTATTACATATAACAATATTGATTTTTTACAGTTTTTTAATTAGTATTAGAATTATTTGATTTAAATTTTTAGTGCCTTTAGATTTAACCCGTAGTATATATGTAATTTAGTAATTAAGTATTATAGTTACACATTTAAAGATATCAAAAGACACTAACAATTCTATTTAAATCCTACCTCGGATTATTGCTAATTGTAACCCGCTCCACTATTAAATCTGCGAATTTTTAAATATAATTTTTTTCAAGATTGTTTTTTTCACATTGAAATATTGTATTTGTTTGATCGATATGAATAATTATAATCATATTCAACTATTTAATATTTGAATAATATAGTTTTTGTTGTTTTTATATCTTTTTGTATTTGTTTTGGTAATTTTTTGTTTAACTGTTATCGCACCTACTGGCCAACCCGTCATCAAAATCCCGCAACGCATCCATTTTTAACTGCTGGACCAGCCGTACAAAACGTTAAATATCGCTTAAACCGCAACCTTCCGTTTCGGTAACTGTCCATTTTCGCAACTGCTCGTTTTCACAAATTCTTTTAACTGCAACTGCATTCGTTCGTCTAAACCAGTTAGGCTTTAAATATGGTGATATTAAAATTATAAAATATAATATGGGTTTAAATTATTAATTGACAACAACATTATTCCTTCATGTTTCTTATCTTATCTCAAGACAAATATTTTTTATTAATTTGAAAAAGAAAAAATAGGTAACTAAGTTAACTTTTGATCTCTCGAAAAAAGGGGAAATGTGCCAAAAATGTAAATGTCATTTTTTAAATTGAAAAAGGTTTCCAATTAAAATGCATGAGAAATTCGAACCATAATTGCATTACTTAAAAAAATTTACCCAGCCCACGTCATTTTTTTGTTGGGTCAAGCACATATTTGAGATTAGACTACAAAACCCATAAGCGAAAAAAAGAGAAAGAATAGAAACCCATCATTAAGTAGAAACACATCTCAACCAATATTTACAAAAAAAATTTGTTCATGTGAAGCGACTAAGCATTTTCATGGTTGACGGAGGATGACGCATCTCAGACCGTGAAGCCAATTTAGTGAAGAAGGTGAAACAATTATGATGTCAATTTGGTGGAGCAATCAAGACCAGCTTTGAAGCATCTGGGAAGCAAATTTATGATTCGAGTATCTATAGGTAGAGATTCTACTCCTAATTAAAATATCAAAAAAGTTCAAATGAAAATTGTTCTACCATCTGCGATTGAATCTCAATTAGATAAAAGCAACCGACTAATCTATCAATTGAAGACAGAAATTCCATGCATCTGCCATTGATGTTATTTCTTGGGAAAATTCGATTTCTTATCATTTTGTTCATGGATTCTTAAGGTAACTGATTAGAAATTTTAGATCTTATGGTTAATGATAGTACGTCTTCTGATTCATAAATTTACAATTATATTGCAAACAATTAGATCTCATAAAATAATTTGTAATGTTGTTACAGTTACAATTTTGCACAACGTCTAATTAAAAAGATGGAGCCACTCAAAGGGCTGGTAGAAAAGTTGCTTGCTTCAGGTAACTTCATTTACCCAGGCTGGTTTGGCTCTTGGAGATCTCAGATCAGTAAAGGATCTGTATGATTTTAAGACTTTGTCCGTGCTATTCCTCATTGGATCCATCTCTATATTCCCTGCAACCCTAATCAGAAATCCAGATCTGCTCCATACCAATCATCCAAGGTCCAAATCCAATTTTCTTCTTCTTCTTCTTCTTCTTCTTCTTGGGAACACGACTTCATCACCGCTCTAAGTAACAATGGCCTTTACGCCGTCGTCTCTCCTCCCAAAAATCTTTGTGGTTATAAGAAGCCTAATCTTCTTCTAAAACCATCTTCTTCGACGCATCGTCGCCTTCAGGTCATAACTTCTTACGACAATGGAGTTCTGGGGTAAACATCTCCTATTTCCCACACAGATCTAAAAGCAAGGTTGGTCTTTAGTTTCTCTTACTTTCGGTAAAACTCTGCGGATGAAATCTTACTCTCATAGGTCTCGTCAGCAACAGAGTTTACTGATAAAGAATCAGAAAAGCATGACGAATCTGATGATGGAGAACAGGAGAAGCAACAAGGGCTAAAGCAAGAACGTGAGAGTTTGGAGAAGAAAAGATGAAGAAGGGTTGAGAGGAAGAACAAGCAGAATTAGTTGACGATTTGAGTGTAGTAAAACAAAGAAATCAGAGTTATCCTTGCTCGAGTATGATTATGTTCCCAAGCTGGTTGTATTCGTGGATTCGAATCTGCCATGTCTAGCACGCCAAGTGTTCGACGATATTCCACACTTGAATGTTGTCTCTGCTACATCGGAAATATAAACGGTAATGTATATGTCCTTTGCTTCGAGACAGAACATGAGTAATGATGATGGTTGGTTTAGTTTCTAGGTCTGGAATTGAGAAGTTAGAATGAAATTGGTTAGTA